CCCCCCCTTCAGACAGTACATGCCCTTGTGGAGAACCCCCCCTTCAGACAGTACATGCCCTTGTGGAGAGCCCCCCTTCAGACAGTACATGCCCTTGTGGAGAACCCCCCCTTCAGACAGTGCATGCCCTTGTGGAGAACCCTCACTTCTCATCTTTTCTCTTTCCTTATTGCCACTGGACACACGTTTCCTGCTCGCTCATTGGAATTCAGGACAGGAGTCCAGCTGCTCTCTGAACAGAAGGGCCTGTCGCCATGCTGCTTCATCAGTGCTGAGGTGGTGCACTGGCTGATGAACAATGTGGAGGGGGTCCAGACGCAGGCAATGGCCATCGACATCATGCAGGTGAGACAGCAAGGAGGGCTGTTCATGTGTGTGTCTGTGCACTACGTGTGCACCTAGTGTCTGCTCAGATCACTGTGAGCAGGGGCTGTCACAGAAGTAGTCACCGTGACAGTCAAGAGATTTGCAGGTTGGGGTGAGGACCTGTTTTTAACTGATGGGAGGTCTATCGGGAACTGATGAAAGGACAGGTCTTCCTTTGGAAGATACTTTAAAGACCTTAGGGTTAGAAGTGCTCGCACAAGCCCCCAACAGCACTGAGGAAGTGGCGGCAGGAGGATCATAAGTTAGAAGCCATCCTATTCTACATAGAGAGACCTTGTCTTAGAAATGCATAAAGGCCGGGCGGTGGTGGCGCACACCTTTAATCCCAGCACTCAGGAGGCAGAGGCAGGCAAATCTCTGTGAGTTCGAGGCCAGCCTGGGCTACCAAGTGAGTTCCAGGAAAGGCGCAAAGCTACACAGAGAAACCCTGTCTCTGTGTAGAGACAAAAAAAAAAAGAAAAGAAAAGAAATGCATAAAGAGGGCGCGTGCGTGCGTGCGTGCGTGCGTGCATGTGTGTGAATATATGTGTGTGAATATATGTGTGTGTGTCACATGTGTGCAGATGCCAGGAGAGGGCATCACATCACCTGGAATTAGGATTGCAGGTGGTTGTGAACTGCCATGTGGGTTCTGGAATTCAAACCCAGGTCTTCTGCAAGAGCAGCCTTTACCGCTGAGACATCTCTCCAGAACCATTACCTGTTTTTCCTTATACTTGTTTTTTTTTTTCTAAAGATTTATTTTGTATTTCTGTGTGTGTGTCTGTCTGTCTGTCTTTCTGTCTGTAGGCAGATGTATGCAGGTACTCACAGAGGCCTGAAGAAGGTGTCAGATCACCTGGAGCTAGAGTTACACACAAGTTGTTAGCAACCTGACATGGGTGCTGAGGCTGAATGTGGGTCTCTGCGAGGGCTTTTAAGCACTGAGCCTTCTCTTCAGCCCATTGCCTCCTGCCTCCACCTCCCCAAACACTGGATTGCAGGGGTGTGCACCACACCTTGTCATAAAGACTGTTTCTGAATGGGGCAAGGTAGACTCTATATATAGTTTTTGTTGTTTGTTTTTTTAATATAAAACATTTTATGTGTATGTTTGTGCACTACATGTGCACCTAGTGTCTGCAGACCAGAAGAGGAAGTCAGATCTCCTGCAACTGGACCAGGCTGGCCTCGAACTCACAGAGATCTGCCTGCCTCTGCCTCCTGAGTGCTGGGATTAAAGGCATGTGCTACCACTGCCCGGCTCACTTAACCATCTTAATCACTGAGCCATCTGTCTCTTCAGCCCCTCCCTTTGTAGATTTAATTCATATTTCTCTAAACATTTTTTGACATTTATTGCCCATTTTGTATTTCATTTTTTTAGAATTCTCTGTTTATTAGTCCATTCATTGACGGGGTTGTTTTATTTGTTGTGGTCTATTTTTATTTTTTGTCTTTTGTTCTTTTCAAAGTGTAGACATTAATTCTCAGTCAGATGTGTAGCTAGCAAAGGTTTCTTCCATCTGTGCAGGCTGTCTCTTCACTAACTGCCCCTCAGCTGTGCAGAGGCTTTCTTGTTTACTTTGTAGTCTCAGGAAGTGCTCACCTATGCCTAGATCTTAGATATTTTCCCTGCCCTTCCCTCTAAGAGGTTCAGAATTCCAAGTCTTACATTAAAGTTCTTGATCCATTAGGAGTTGAGTTTTGTGCAGTGTGAGATAGGAATCTAGTTTCATTCTTCTACATGAGGAGATAGAATTTTCCTAGCACTATTGTTGAAGACTGTCTTCAGTGAGGGTTTTTGTTTTTGTTTTTCCATCTTTACAAAAATCAGGGGGCTATAACTGCTTAGGTTTATATTGGCCCCTTTATTATATTCTACTGATATGTTTGGGGTTATGTATTTTTGTTTTTGTTTTTTATTTTTGTGCCAGCGAGGTATTGTAGTATAACTTGAAGTCAGGTATGAGGTATTGTAGTATAACTTGAAGTCAGGTATGAGGTATTGTAGTATAACTTGAAGGTATGGTGATCTCTCCAGCATTATTCTTTTTGTTCATGATTACATTGGCTGTCTATGCTTCCATATAAACTTTAAGATTTTTTTTCCTATTTATGTGAAGAATGGCATTGGAATTTAGTGGAGATTGCATTGAATCCATAGATTGCTTTTGGTAAGATAGGCACTTTTCATATTAATTCTTTTTTTTTTTTTTTTTTTTTTTTGGTTTTTCAAGACAGGGTTTCTCTGTGTAGCTTTGTGCCTTTCCTGGAACTTGCTTTGTAGCCCAGACTGGCTTCGAACTCACAAAGATCCACCTGCCTCTGCCTCCCGAATTCTGGGATTAAAGGCATGAGCCACCACTGCCTGGCCATATTAATTCTTATAATCCATGAGCATAGGATTAAAATCCATAAAAAGAATTTGGTGACACCTTTCCTTTTCTGTTTCATGGAGTAGTTTAAGACACACTGGTTGGGGGTGAGAAGCAGCAGCAGCATTGGTATTAATTCTTCAAAGGTCTGGTAGATCATCAGTGAACCAAGATGACCTTGAAGCCCTCATCCTCCTGCCTCCACCTTCCCAGTGGGATTACAGGGATGTGTGCCACAACTAGTTTTCCTTATGGGATTATGGGAGACATTCCCTCAGATGAAGAGAATTATACTGCCTAACCGATTGTTACATTTATTGAAGTTAGATGGTTTTCTGCTTGGGAGTTTTTCTCTACTTTCTGTATGTTTGAAATGTTTGGTGAAATACATATACTTTATAACTTAGAACAGGTTCATTTTCACATAGCACATTCTAATGGGGGCCAAAGGTATGATCTCATG